AACAGCAACCCAGTAAACCCCAAGCCCTAGACCCTAGTTTAGTAGTTTGAGGAGCCGCTCTTTGCCATGCAGCACTCCGGGAACCGCCGCGTGGCATTGGCCTCAGAGACGTCCTTCAGGCCACCTTTGCCTTAAGTTGCCAAGCCCTACATGGGGTTCTCCCAAGACTAGGGGAGGTCCCTATAATAAGGTCGATAGTAACTAGTGTATTTGCATCTATCTTTTCTTGTAAACAAATTACCATGCAGGTATTGCAACCTCAGTCTGTGAGCAGCAGATGTGTAAAGTACTTATTCAACGTCACTGTAACATGTGACATTGAACACCCCCTAAACCCTTACTGCCCGAAACCCTAAACCCCCTGAACCCTAAACCCTCTAAAACCCTAAGCCCTAAACCCCCTAAACCCCCATCCCCCAAAAAGGTGGCTGCTTGTGCCCGCTGCTGCGGCTTCGTGCACTCTGTGCCCTTGCAGCTCGAGGCCAGAGATTTGGAGCGCTGAAAGGTCTAGATCCTTGGGGTTCAGGGGATGTAGGGTGTAGGAGTTTGGGATTTAGGGGTTAGGGATCAGGGTTTGGGGTTTAGGGGGTTTAGGGCTTAGGGATCCTTACATTGCGGATAGGATTGGGCTTTCGGATGCAAAAATTTGTTACCATCTATCATGTTGGGGTGGATGAAGGACGCCATCTCCGGGATGCTCATATTCTTCCCTGGTGAGTAGTATTTTATTTGGGGATACTATGGTAGCAGTACCCATTATAGAGTAAGAGTATATCCTCCCTTTGGGGTATAGTATTTTATATAGGGAATATAATCTTACTGGGTTTAACCACCACAAAAACGCTACTTAGGTCATCTTCGGTGAAAGCCGCTTTGCCCCGTTGCTGGCAGCCCTGGGCGACTTACCTGCCAGGTGGCAGGAGCCCAGATTCTTCTCAAACTTGTGGATGCTGTTTATTTAGGGCTTCAGTTTTGGGGTTGCTTTTGGGACTCAAGAATTGGGATACCAAGTCTGACCTGCATGCTCCTTAACTTTCACACCCCGGAACAAGCTTGAAATTACAGTGCTTGAGCATGGGGGGAGTTGTTCATGCCGTGACCTCGAAAGGAGACAGCTGGAGAAGGGAGCGCTGTCGTTGTGCGATGCAAGCAAGGCTGTGCGTATTGTCACGCTCCATGTGTGCCTGGCTTCCACTGCTGGCATCCAATAGGATGCGGTGAGATATACTGCTCCGAGGCAGGACGTGATCATGTTCCCTGGGGATCCATGTCTATAAATAATACCTACATTGGGCCCTAAAGTCTGGAACTAAAACCTACATTGGGCCATTTGGATCCCCAGGGAGAGAGTGAAGCGGCACTTTGGAGTCAGGCTTGCAGGGACCTCCACTTCCAGCATTCTCACAACCTTCTTTGCGCTGCCTGCCTGCACTTCGAAAGTTTAGAGCTGGGCTTCACAAGTCCTGTACGCCAAGGTTGGACCTCTCACAGAGGAGCACCGTTTCCCTCACCAACTCTTCTTGGTTTAGGGTTTAGGGGTTTAGGGTTCAGGGTTTAGGGGTCTAGGGTTCAGGGTTTAGGGGTTTAGGGTTTAAGGTAAATTCTTCAGATTTCTTCAGCAAAGTTTCCAGGACCACCCACTTCTTCGCTTCAAGTACCATGCACTTGAGCACGCGGACACCCTGCTTCTAGCGGCACAGGCCCATGGCCTTTCCAAGTAGGTGGTTGTCAAAATTGCGGTCCATTTTTGGGTACCCTAAAGATTAGGTGCCGTATAATAACAGGGACCCCAAAAAAGGGACCATCATTTTGACAGCCACCCAAGTGGAAGCCTGATCAATCAGACAATGCCTGGGGATTCAGGTCTTCGCCTTCCTGATCAACAAGGCCAAGGCGGCAGGTGGCGGAGAGCAGGCGCGAAAGGCACTTGGAGCCATAATCTAAACTCCTTAAAGGGGGCTTATATAAGGGATGTTAGAGGGGACTACTATAGGGGATATGAGGGGGGATACTGGAAATTTGGACTATGGCTCACTTGGAGTCAACCCAGCTGAATCGCTCTTCACCGCGGAGGTGATGAAGGGCCTCATGCAAGAGCTCCTGTGCTTTTGTCGGAGCCTCAGATACTTGGCAGTGGAAGCTCTACCCCAAGACATGTCATTCGTAGTATCCTCATATAATCCATGCATAGCCCCTTTATATAGTTTCCATGTGTTTTTTCCATTTGGGGGGGTAGAATACTTTTTCATTTTTCCTGGCTGTCCCAATGATGCAGCCAGGTCACGCTCCCTTCAGGGAAGCGCCGCGTCCTTGGCACAGCCTACAGAATCCCATCATCTGGGGGTTTCCCCAAAATTAAGGTACCATTCAAAGGGCTTATAGGCCGTAGATAGGGATATATAGGGAGTATATAGGGACATACAGGGTTTAGGGTTTCCAAAAAAAAGGTTACCTCTTTTGGGGGCCCGATAATAATGATTATAATAGCATTGTAAGGTGTATATTGGGGTCCCCCTATTTCGGGGAAACTACCATCTTCTGTCCGGGAAGATGGGTCCAAAGTCTCAAATTGAGTAGTATTCTGGGGGGGATAGAATACTATAGACGCTAAAGTAAGATTATATCCTTGGGGGCCTAGCAATTTGTACAAGGAACATGTAATCTTATGGACAACCACCATTGGACCGCTCCTCTGTTGAGCCTCCACAAATTTGTGACAAATTTGAGGTGCCGCCCGCCACCCGGGCGGTCGAAGGATGCCGAGTTCTACGCCACAGCCTCAGTTCTCATTGAAAATTAGAAGAGATGCAAAGATCCTGAGACAATCCCTTATTATTAGTAGTAGTAATAATATTTGGGGGAGAAGATTAAGTCTGTAAAGTAGAGGAAGCATATGCCAGGCACACGCAGATGGTTTGGTTCAAGAAGCCGCTGCACTGCTCCGCGCAGCGCTAGAGCCATACGCACCTGTGGAGGCCTGTGGTCACTGCCCACAGCTCTCAGGGTTGAGGGCTTTAGGATTGTAACCCTAAACCTTTAGGGTTACACCCTAAAGGGTTAGACCCTAAACCCTAAACCCTTAGAGTTACACCCTAACCCGAAATAGTAGTTTCCATTTTCTTTTCCATTATCCCTATATAACCCCAATATTACCCCAATATAACCCAGGGTTCAGGATACACCCTAAGCCCTAAAACCCTGAGGAATATTAACACCTGGCAGGTAGGAGCTCTATTCGCAGCTGGGCCGGTTCCTCAATCCGCCTTAGCCCCTTTTTTGTCACAGCCTTCTTGACAGGGTAGGCCATCAACAGACCTCCTTGCAAAATGGCCTGCTTCAGAAGTCCCAAATGTCATGTCTTGGGCTCAACCCCTCTGCTCCTAATCTTTAAACCCTAAACCCAAACCCCATTTTTATCAGTCCAGGCCCAACTTCTTCGCCGAAGTGCTGGGGCTCTTTGTCCCTCGGATTTGTTTTGCTCCGGGCTCTTGGGATGAATTTGGCTGGCCATGTTGGGATGGATTTAGGGTTTAACTTGTAGGGATAATGGAAAATAACATGGAAACTACTAGATTCTATATAAGTTTAGGGTGTAGGGTTCAGGGTTTAGGGTGCTGTTTTGTGGGCATCATGACCCCTGCAAGTGCCCAGGAGTACAACAACATCGACTTGGAGGCCAGCCCGACACAAGTAAGGCCTTCTAAGCTACCATTTTGGCATAGAACGCAGAGTGAGAGTGTCGAACCAAGCTGTTGATTGGCCAGGTGGTCATTTCCCCTAAATAGGGGACCCCAATCTGGACCCCAGTATAGTCTATATATATATAGTATACTAATCCTGATTATGGGGATCCCAATCTAGACCCCAATGTACTCTATCTCATAATCCTTATAAAGCGGATCCCTGAAAAGAGACTCCCCCCAGCCCAATTTTGAGGAAAACCTGCAGGTGAATTCACCTTTGGGGCAGCTCCTGGAAAACCGGGCCAAATTCCCAGATCTCCTGGCTCTGGCTCTCGTCAGAACCCTGTGTGTGAGCTACGCGTTTGAGGCTAAAGCGTTGGCCCAGCACATCTCCAATCCCCAGGCTGGGTTGCTTCATTTTCGCAATGTTATTCTCACCATTATTATGATCATTATTAGCATTTTTGCTCTTGTGAAATATTACTGTTAATTCTATTTCTACTATAAAGCTACTCGTCGTACCATTTTCCGAATTCTTATCAATCTGTCAAGAAGGACAGCCCGAAAGCGCAAAGTTCCACACCCTGAACCTTGTAAACCCTATAATCCGCATGAACCCTACACCCCACAACGCTAAACCCTGAAGGCAGTAGCCGAGCTTAAGCAGCTGGAAGCCCTTCTGCGAGAGAAGGAATGGGCTGCTTGTCTGCAGCTTGCTGAGCCTGCCAATGCAGAAGCCCTATAAGATTTAGATGAAAAATGCGGTTGTTTCCCAGAAGAGGGGGGCCCTACTCTAGACCCGAAATACTATGATCCTTATTGCGGCCAAAATTGTACACCAAATTCTGGGATACCCTCCAGTAAACGCCGCAAGGCGGCTGATGCTCATGTGGCTTTGGGAATTATCGGGAGTAAACGCCAGGCAGCTGATGCTCATGATGCTGGCGGCTTCGGG